TAGACCAATATCCCTGATGAACACAGATGCAAAAATTCTCAACAAGATACTAGCCAATATGATCCAATAGTACATTAAGAAGATTATTCACCATGAACAAGTGGGATTTATCCCCAGGATGCAAGGCTGGTTCAACACTCATAAAGCAATCAACGTGATAGATCATATCAACAAGAGAAAACACAAGAACCATATGATCCTCTCAATAGATGCAGAGAAAGCATTTGACAAAATACAGCTCTCATTCCTGATCAAAACTCTTCAGAGTGTAGGGATAGAGGGAACATTCCATAGCATCTTAAAAGCCATCTACGAAAAGCCCACAGCAAATATCATTCTTAATGGGGAAACACTGGGAGCCTTTCCTCTAAGATCAGGAACACGACAGGGATGTCCATTCTCACCACTGGTATTCAACATAGTAGTAGAAGTCCTAGCCTCAGCAATCAGGCAACAAAAAGAAATAAAAGGCATTCAAATTGGCAAAGAAGAAGTCAAACTCTCCCTCTTCCGAGATGACATGATACTGTACATAGGAAACCCAAAAGACTCCATCCCAAGATTGCTAGAACTCATACAATAATTCGGCAATGTGGTAGGATACAAAATCAATGCCCAGAAGTCAGTGGCATTTCCATACACTAACAATGAAACTGAAGAAAGAGAAAATAAAGAGTCAATTCCATTTAAAATTGCACCCCAAAAGCATAAGATACCTAGGAATAAACTTAACCAAAGAGGTAAAGGGTCTATACCCTAAAAACTACAGAACACTTCTGAAAGAAAATGAGGAAGACACAAAGAGATGGAAAACTATTCCATGCTCATGGATTGGAATAATTGATATTGTGAAAATGTCAATGCTACCCAGGGCAATTTACACATTCAATGCAATCCCTAACAAAATACCATGGACTTTCTTCAGAGAGTTGGACCAAATCATCTTAAGATTTCTGTGGCGTCAGACAAGATCCCGAATAGCCAGGGAAACACTGAAAAAGAAAACCAGAATCAGGGGCATCACAATGCCAGATTTCAAGTTGTACTACAAAGCTGTGATCAAGACAATATGGTACTGGCACAAAGAGAGACACATAGATCAATGGAACAGAATGGAGAACCCAGAAATGGGCCCTCAACTCTATGGTCAACTAATATTCGACAAAGCAGGAAAGACTATCCACTGGAAAAAGGAAAGTCTCTTCAATGAATGGTGCTCGGAATTTTGGACAGCTATGTGCAGAAGAATGAAACTAGACCATTCTCTTTCACTAGACACAAAGATAAAGTCAAAATGGATGAAAGATCTAAATGTGAGACAAGATTACATCAAAATCCTAGAGAAGAACACAGGCAAAACCCTTTTTGAACTTGGCCACAGCAACTTCTTGCAAGATACATCTATGAAGGCAAGGGAAACAAAAGCAAAAATGAATTATTTGGACTTAAGATAAAAACTTCTACACAGCAAAGGATACAGTCATCAAAACTAAAAGGCAACCTTCAGAATGGGAGAAGATATTTGCAAATGACGTATCGGATAAAGGGCTAGTATCCAAGATCTATAAAGAACTTACTAAACTCAACACCAAAGAAACAAACAATCCAATCATGAAACGGGCACAAGACACAAACGGAAATTTCACCAAAGAAGACATACACATGGCCAACAAACACATGAGAAAATGCTCTGCGTCAGTTGCCATCAGGGAAATACAAACCAAAACCACAATGAGATACCATGTCACACCACTGAGAATGGTGAACATTAACAAGACAGAAGATCACAAATGTTGTAGAGGATGTGGAGAAAGGGGAACCCTCTTGCACTGTTGGTGGGAATGTGAACTGGTACAGCCACTCTGGACAACTGTGTGGAGGTTCCTCAAAGAGTTCAAAATAGAACTGCCCTACGACCCAGCAATTGCACTGCTGAGCATTTACCCTAGAGATACAAATGCAGTGAAAGGGCAGGACACCTGCACCCCAATGTTTATAGCAGCAATATCCACAATAGCCAAACTGTGAAAGGAACCTCGGTGTCCATCGAAAGATGAATGGATAAAGAAGATGTGATCTATATACACAATGGAATATTACTCAGACATTAGAAACGACAAATACCCATCATTTGCTTCAATGTGGATGGAACTGGAGGGTATTACGCTGAGTGAAGTAAGTCAATCGGAGAAGGACAAATATTATATGGTCTCATTCATTTGGGGAATATAAAAAATAGTGAAAGGGAATAAAGGGGAAAGGAGAGAAAATGAGTGGGAAATATCAGATAGGGTGACAGAGCATGAGAGACTCCTAACTCTGGGAAATGAACAAGGGTTGGTAGAAAGGGAAGTGTGTGGGGGGTTGGGGTGACTGGGTGATGGGCACTGAGGGGAGCACTTGACGGGATGAGCACTGGGTGTTATACTATATTTGTCAAATCGAACTCCAATGAAAATTATACAAAAAAAAGAAATAAATAAAATATTACTTTGTAAAAGAAAAAAAATAAACAGACTTCCACCCCATTCTATCTTTACATCTCATTTTCAACCTCCCACAACTCCTAGTGGGAACCCTTGCTTCCCATTCCTTATTCTGAAGGGCTGAGAAACCCCTATCCCAGTAACAGATCTCCTTTGTTCCTTCTTTCTATGCTTTGTTTACATAGTCGTCATCATCTTTCTTGTCTTTACTTTCTCTACTCCATTGACTCTAGTCTTCCAGGCCTTATCCATTGAGATGGATCTTATCCAAGTATATATTGGACACATGCAGGCTGCAAGCCTTGCACATGGTGTGATGTCAAATACTAGCTGTATAAACAGCTGTAAACAACAGGCTATTGATATGAGGTATCTTCCGTTGACCAGGGAACTCACTGTAGGTGGATAACGGTGGAGACAGTGGTGTCACAGATGGAGAGAGAAAAAGAGCACTCATTAACTGAGCATCAAGAATAGTATCTTTCTTTGCATTTTTCCTTTTTAAAATTTCCTTACTCTTTTTACCTGGGCTACTAGGATGCTAAGCACCATAATGAAGGATTAACCAAACTTTTAGAATTTTTTATTGTGCACCAACACTCCACCAGATGCTTTCGACCTGGGTTACTTCAAATGCGTCTCCTGAGGGCATTAGGAGGGATAGATTCAACTCCCCCCCACTCCAACTCTGGTCACCCCACCTCTGCCTGGATCCCAAACATCAGCACCTCTAACAGCAGCCACTGCCTGTGCCTATGACCATTTAAGATGAAAAAGAAAGAAACCCTCATTATTTTCTGATACATAATAATAATAAGATAGTAACTTGGATAAAATATTAGTTATATGTGATAATTATTTCCATGAATATCTAAGCAGTGGTTAAGAGAATAGAACCCAGAAACAAGCTGGCTGTGGAACATCAGGCAAGACATTTAAACTTTCCAAATCTCAGTTTGTTCAAATGTTATCTGGGGATGTCTATAATACCTATATTGCCTACATGGTTATTGTGGAGATTGATTAATGCATATAAAACACTTAAGCAGCATGTGATACACAGTAAGGAGTCAAGAAATTCTCCTATTATTAATATTATCATCATTACTACTGTGTTCCAAGTCTTAACTCATTTAAATCTGATAAAAACCTTGTGAGGTGTGAATTTTTTCCTAGTTTACAAGAAACATTCATTCCTAATAGCATTAATTGCAACTATAGTACTAATATAAACACAAATAACAGTGTCAGTGATGCTTCATAAATATGTTCATTTTATAGATGCATGCCAAGATTTTCAGGAGTGGCAGTAACTAGATTATAATATCAATGTAATGTAATTGTCAATATTCTAAAATCACCTCCATTTCAGAGGCGGCATGAGATAACACCATTATTCTTATAATGATACCCATTATTAGGGTAGGTGCTAAAATAACATTGGTAATAATAATAACAACATTAGGGATCCCTGGGTGGCGCAGTGGTTTGGCGCCTGCCTTTGGCCCAGGGCACGATCCTGGAGACCCGGGATCGAATCCCACGTCGGGATCCCGGTGCATGGAGCCTGCTTATCCCTCTGCCTGTGTCTCTGCCTCTCTCTCTCTCTCTCTCTCTCTCTCTCTGTGTGTGTGTGACTATCATAAATAAAAAAAAACAACATTAACATTAATAATAATAACAACATTAATAGCAACAACATTAATTAATGTGATATAATTATGCTATTTTGAGGAGGAGAAAAATATCACACCAGCATTATTAAGAATGGTAGTTACTGTGGTTTTTAAAAATATATAATAATGCAATTAACTGCATTAATGTTTTACCTCAGTTATCCTGATTCTGATCAGATGAAAAGGTTTTCTTAGCAGTATAGAATTAATTTTGTATTATTTTTATTAGTAAATTATTTAATTGTATTATACTTACTATAGCATTTGCAATAAATAATACAATTGTGGCATACATAATAACAATACAATTGTGGTATCCATTATAATAATGATTAATGATACAATCACTTTATAATAATGGATACGATAAAGGTGAAATAAATGCTATAATCAATAATAACGTAAGCACAAATAATGGAGGACAATGATTATCCCCAATTAACGTATCCCCAGTGAAAGGCAAAGCATAGCGCAAGTCTTCCTGGTGGTGCTTCCTGGCTAACTAATATTATAACATTATAATAGTCATTTAACTACAGACAATATTATGGGTATGCTATAATTATGCCCCCTTTACCACGGGGACAGTCAGTACCTGGGCCCAGGGACATATATTAGTTCTTTAATGTTAACCTAGCTGCACATAGTAACATTACGGAACGTCCTATAACCATACCCACTTCTGAGACAGGAGGCGGCGAGGCTAGTGAAATTAGCCAGCATCCGGGCTAGTGAAATTATGCCTATGGCGCTAACGCTACGCAGATGCAGACCCTATGCAGGCAGTGGTCTGAACGGGGCCATTTCCCCGGTGCGGAGGGCCAGGGCCAGTTCCGCAATGGATGGCGCCCCTTTGAGCAATGTCTTGACCTCATCCCTGCAACAGGTACTTAGGCTGCACGCGGGCATCCGTCTCCCCACCCACAGCCCAGGGACTGGCTTCCCGGCCCGCGTCCCCTCGGCCCACAGCCTTCCTCTGCAAACTCTCCCCAGAACATGCTACCTTCTAGCAGTCGCTGAGGAGAGACTCTCCACCAGGCCAGTGTCGTGGACATTTCCTCCTCGAGGCCACAAGAGCCGACCCGCACTCCAGGTGCCCCAGGGCTGCGGTCCCCCCCCCAGGCCAGGAGAAGAGGAGCCGGAAAGGCGGGGGAACCAGGCAGAGCTACCGCTGGGGGCAGCCGAGGGGAGAAACTGCTTCCCCCTTCCTTTCTCGCCTTTGCTAGTCACGGATCTGGATGAGCCTGGCATTCACGGTGCGGACCATGTACACGTTATGAGTGGATGGGGATCGGATACGCTTGGGGTATGGGGTAAGGAAGGGAAGTATTCAGGGTGTGGGAGATGCTCCTGGAGCTGATGTGAATGAGCGGAGGTTATCAAACCACCTTTCCCTTTGGCCAGTCCTGGAACCAGTAATTGCTCCCGGGACCCCCAACTGATTTAAACAGATACATGAAGGATGTTGGCAGCCAGTTTGCTGAGTAGGTATCTGAAGGAACGATGTACTAGACATAGGGCACAGCCATTGCAAAGGCCTGGAAGTTAGGAGAAGCTCTGCTGGTTTTATAAATTACCAGAAGGGCCCTAGCACAGACCAATTTGTGTTGACAAATAATAAAAATAAATATTGACCGACTAACACGGAAGTCTCAACTTTATTTAGCCCTACTCTTCTTTTGTAGGATAGTTACAACTTTATCTGATAAATGTTTATTTAAATATATGATATTTTATATAAGACATATATTAGGATGAATCATTAAATTGTCAGTATTTAACCTTTTGATTTATAAAAACAGAAATTTCATGATTCAGTTATAGTCAACTTACAATTATAATTATAAATACATTTAGTTATAACTATTTTATTCTATAAATATACATTATGGTTACATAAATATAAGATAAATGTTATATAAAATTTGCAGATTTATAAACTATAAGTATGATATGCAGTCTGTACATTTATATGTAATTTATAAAATATAAATATATGCAATCTTTAATATTGTAACAGTTTTTATAATATAGCATGCACCATATATGTATACACATATTACTCTATACTATCATATGTAATTAATATGAAAACACATATATCATGTTGAAATATTTCATAATGGCCCTTCACTGTCCTGAAATGAAATTTATAGGTAATATGACTTACCTCTGCCCCAAAATTGAAAAAAATCAATTTAATATAACCTAAATTATATTAGGTTTAATATAAAGATGATGTAAAAGACAGTTTTTATTGAAATAATGTGTATTGTCGCATGTAAATGCTTGGGAAGTACAGTAGAAGAATAAGCTAGATATGTAGTTAATAGGAATAGTAGTAGTAGTCCAAATAGTAATAGAAGAGACTTGCTGAGTATTGTCTGTGTGCCAGGCACTGATCTAAGCACTTGAAACGCACTGATATATTTAATCCTCACAGCCTCCTGATGGAGCCTGCAGAGGGTTTCCATTATTTCGTTAGCTCCACAGGAATGAGGGGTTTATGATAGTTGAATGATGTGCTAAACTTGGAAATGGAAATAAGTTATCTAAAGAAGATGAGTAAGCCCTAATCAGCACTTACTTTGGAGTCTCCATTTCCTAGTTGACACGGAATTTGATTTGCAATAGGGGCAGCAGCAAAGTGTAGAATTTAAGATGTGGGCTCTGCTTGTAACTTTTAGAACCTTGCTATTTGATGAGTAGCAGTTGTGTCTCTGCCATGAATCAGAACCCTCCCCGTAATGGAGGAGAACTTCGACAGTATCAGAAGTCTCGTCCTGAAATCTGTGTGGCAGTACATGGCATGGAAGCGACTAACTTTGGGCAGAAAATGCTTGTAGACTCAGATTTGCCTGCACTAGGGCTTTGCGTGTGAGAGTTGCAGTGTGCGCATCTATGGGGTTTGTGCACACTTCTAACCATGCTCTTTTAGACCTCAGTTGACTGGAACTCACATCACAAGAACCCTCAGTTCACTGGCTTTTATTCCCACCTCTACTCTCTGTTGTAAGACAAACTTTTAGTCATCACAATAACTTTTCTTCAGGCTACCTATTTATGTGTGCAAGAACCTAAAAGTTGGAAGGAATAGTGGTTATGTCCAGACAGGGATTTGAGGTAAGGATGGGACTGTGTATGGTGGTTAAAGGGGACATTAGCTATATCATCAATACTTTATTTCTTTAATAAAACAAAGCTACTGAAAGCAAATAGGGAAAAAGTTAACATTATTAAATTTGGATGGTAAAAATCATGGGAATTTGCATTATTCTCTTTTGTTCTCTGTGGTTTTGAAATGAAGGGAAACAATCAAAAAGATTGCCAGGGGGAAATTTTCCAGTTTAGCACATATGCAGATTGTCTTCTTGACCAAAGACCTCACCATCAGATAATCTGTTATTGGTGCTTGGTCAGAGCTTGTCTAGTGTAATACCTCCATTTCTTCTCAGAGTAGAAACGGACTTTCTCAGATGTCATGTAAATCTTTTTAAAGAAGCAGAGGAAGAACCCAGGGTTTCTGAAATCTAGAGGTGGACTGAGAACCCAGGATTTGATCTCTTCACTCTGTTATGCCCTTTTCTTATATTGCCCAGTTATTGTTTCAATAACTTTTCAGAAATGACGGGTGTAGGGTGACAACCCCAAGGGCCTGACAAATCCTCAGTCAATTCAGAAAGATTTCAGTCTCATCATGATTCTTTACTTACTAAAATAGAAAGTGGATTTGGATGTCTTAGAAAAGATTTTCAACAATCCAAAGGTTAACCTCCAGCTAATGTAAAAATTAACCAAGAAGTTCACTCTACTAGCACTAAATTGTGCAAGATATCATGGAATGAGAATATAGAAAACCACATTCAGTAAGACCTACTAAGTGTCTGGTCCAGGAGGTGCTTGAGCGATGAAATGAAAAAGGGAAGAAATTCCATGAGCAGAGTGACATTGACTAATGTGCCAATCAATACGGCAGGAAAACCAGGATGCCACTCCCAACTTGACACCTAGGTAAAACAAACTCAGAGCATGACTAAAATTTGGTTGGGAAGGTGTGGAAGGTGGGAGAAATGGTATGAGGGCGCAGACAGGAAAGAGCTGAATGGGTAAGGGCCTGCTGTTCCCTTACAAGGAAGGCTAGGGTAGGACTAGAAGGAGGAGATCAGCCTGTCAACAGCCACGCATTTTGACAGTGTATAGCCTAATTTGGAAGAGCTTGGGTGGTAGACTTGGCGATTTTAGCTGACTTACCAAGGAATTATGAATTCTGGAGCAGGAATTTGGCATAGAGCTTGTTATTCCTGTTGTAAGTGATGCTGGCTAATGGAAAGGTGGCAGTCATTTGTTCTTGTCAACACATTTTGGACATTGGAGCCTGTCTCCTGACATTCCTTTTTTTAAATAATAAATTTATTTTTTATTGGGGTTCAATTTGCCAACATAGAGAATAACACTCAGTGCTCATCCCGTCAAGTGCCCCCTCAGTGCCCGTCACCCATTCACCCCCACCGCCCACCCTCCTCCCCTTCCATCACCCCTAGTTCATTTCCCAGAGTTAGGAGTCTTTATGTTCTGTCTCCCTTTCTGATATTTCCTACCCATTTCTTCTCCCTTCCCTTCTATTCCCTTTCACTATTATTTATATTCCCCAAATGAATGAGAACATATAATGTTTGTCCTTCTCCGATTGACTTATTTCACTCAGCATAATACCCTCCAGTTCCATCCACGTTGAAGTAAATGGTGGGTATTTGTCATGTCTAATGGCTGAGTAATATTCCATTGTATACATAAACCACATCTTCTTTATCCATTCATCTTTCGATGGACACCGAGGCTCTGTCCACAGTATGGCTATTGTGGATATTGCTGCTAGAAACATCGGGGTGCAGGTGTTCCGGCGTTTCATTGCATCTGAATCTTTGGGGTAAATCCCCAGCAGTGCAATTGCTGGGTCATAGGGCAGGTCTATTTTAAACTCTTTGAGGAACCTCCACACAGTTTTCCAGAGTGGCTGCACCAGTTCACATTCCCACCAACAGTGTAAGAGTGTTCCCTCCGCATCCTCTCCAACATTTGTGGTTTCCTGCCTTGTTAATTTTCCCCATTCTCACTGGTGTGAGGTGGTATCTCATTGTGGTTTTGATTTGTATTTCCCTAATGGCAAGTGATGCAGAGCATTTTCTCATGTGCGTGTTGGCCTTGTCTATGTCTTCCTCTGTGAGATTTCTGTTCATGTCTTTTGCCCATTTCATGATTGGATTGTTTGTTTCTTTGGTGTTGAGTTTAAGAAGTTCTTTATAGATCTTGGAAACTAGCCCTTTATCTGATACGTCATTTGCAAACATCTTCTCCCATTCTGTAGGTTGTCTTTGAGTTTTGTTGACTATATACTTTGCTGTACAAAAGCTTCTTATCTTGATGAAGTCCCAATAGTTCATGCTTCCTTTGTTTCTTTTGCCTTTGTGGATGTATCTTGCAAGGAGTTACTGTGGCCAAGTTCAAAAAGGGCATTGCCTGTGTTCCCCTCTAGGATTTTGATGGAATCTTGTCTCACATGTAGATCTTTCATCCATTTTCAGGTTATCTTTGTGTATGGTGCAAGAGAGTGGTCTAGTTTCATTCTCCTGCATGTGGATATCCAATTTTCCCAGTACCATTTATTGCAGAGACTGTCTTTCTCCAATGGATAGTCTTTCCTCCTTTATCGAATATTAGTTGACCATAAAGTTGAGGGTCCACTTCTGGATTATCTGTTCTGTTCCATTGATCTATGTGTCTGTTTTTGAGCCAGTACCACACTGTCTTGATGACCACAGCTTTGTAGTACAACCTGAAATCTGGCATTGTGATGCCCCCAGATATGGTTTTCTTTTTTAAAATTCCCCTGGCTATTCGGAGTCTTTTCTGATTCCACACAAATCTTAAAATAATTTGTTCTAACTCTCTGAAGAAAGTCCATGATATTTTCATAGGGATTGCATTAAACGTGTAAATTACCCTGGGTAACATTGACATTTTCACAATATTAATTCTGCCAATCCATGAGCATGGAATATTTTTCCATCTCTTTGTGTCCTCCTCAATTTCTTTCAGAAGTGTTCACTCGTCATAAGGGTATAGATCCTTTACCTCTTTGGTTAGGTTTATTCCTAGGTATCTTATGCTTTTGGGTGCCATTGTAAATGGGATTGACTCCTTAATTTCTCTTTCATCAGTCTCATTGTTAGTGTATAGAAATGCCACTGACTTCTGG